AACATCAAGAGGAACATATATATAAACACTGGTTCATGACCTTTGTGGTACATTCTTGTCCTTCACAATCCTCCAGTTATTGTTTATGATGAGTTTTTAATCTCCTCTAGCGACCTGGGAGACAAGGGACAACTGATGAAAGATTTCCATCTGTCCAGCCATTATCAGGGTTGCTAAGGTCATCATAACCCTATGGTACATCAGTGGTATACCAGACTCAGACAATTAAAACACAAGGCAGCAGTTCCGTTATTATCACCGCGTCTGACTACAGCAATCCCATCAAGTGTTCATGTGTTGTATACAGGTGTGTGATGTGTTGGCCGTGTATCCATGGAGGCCCCAGAGGGGGACAAGGTGCTTGATGTACAAGCATGTGGTGATAAGTGATGAGTAGCTCTCCACAACCCCTGGGGCACAGTATTGACACCAAACATACTGCTGATAGATGCCTTGTTGTGGTCCTCATCAAAAAGCAAAATATTTTTCATACACACTATTTGAAGGTTGACTTTCAAAGCCAATTTACCAAATGATCTTTAGCAAAACAACAATATCATGACAATGGACATACCAAACTTTGAAAAAGTGAGAAAAAAAACAAGCAAAACTGTCAATTCATATTGTACCATACTCTTCCCTCATGTGACACGGTTGGGGGTTATTCTGAGAAGAAACAAAACGAAACTGGAACTGTCACATCCAATTGTACATCATGTTTGTTTTGTTCATTTCTTGTTTAAACTTTGTTCTAAACACTCCAAAGGTGTTAATTTTTCTCAATAAAATTAATGTGAGTACAACCATCATCCTATTGACAACCTTCTGTTTATGCTGCATATATATACTAATATAGACCAGGAGAATGTGTACAACAAGTAGGCTGGTCCGGCCTCTTCAAGCACAATTACAACCACTAACAGTAGCTTCCTCCATATTTCTTATTCAGATCTAAAAGCAAAATGTTGACAGTTCAATCTCTCCAGTGGGAGTTTGGGTAAGTGAGTGAGTTACCCCAAACTCTCAGATATTATCATGGGAACTTCAGTTTTCTGGGGAGGTGGGGTAGCCTAGTGGTTAAAGCATTCTCTCATCACGTTGAACTTGGCCCGGGTTTGATTCCCCACATGGCCATATTTGCTGGTGTATTGCTAAAAGCGGTGTAAAACCAAAATCACTCACTCACTCTTAAAAAACATGAATAGTTCATTCATATTACATCTATTTGAACAAAATTATTGTTAGAAAGAATTTCTTTAACATTTAACATGTTTAATGGTTATGTTATTAACACTACAATTACTTCTTCCCAGATCTGTCAACATGGTCAACCCACCATATTAACATTATGCTTATAATGTTAACCATGCTATCTATGATAAGAATGTACATATGATGCTACTTTTATGACTGTGGGGGAATATATACGACAGGTGTCAACAAAATACATCATCATTACCTGTGACAAGTATCAATGAGGGCACTCAATGAACATGTTCAGGTATTTCTAAAATGATAAAACCCCATGTTATTCATAAACTGTTTTTTGTCCTGTCACAAAGTTAACAACTTAAATGTTGGACTACGATATGCCATACTGCCATAAACAGGTCATTAGCCATTAGCTGTGTGGCTCTTGCAACATGTTTACATGATACAGGGGTCATTTGGTCATCACTGGTGAGTAATTAGCATGTTTATGCATCAATGATGTAACATACAAGTCATGATGATCTATGATGTGCACGTTTCGGATTAATGAATAAGTATCAAGACATACCAAACATATTTCAGCTAAGAAAAGGATTCAGTCAAAAGCCGCTAGTCACGATGCTACTAACATTAAATAAGAGCAATATCTATCTGATAATGTGAATACTCTCATAACAACATGTAATGGTATATAGAAGTTCTTCTGCCATGCTTTATTACAGTTCATATCAGTATTTGAACTGATCATGATCAAAACAGTTTAATTTGGTTCTATTCTCACTGTATGAACATTCTCAAAGAAATAAATATTGAATGAATCCCTTTCAAATAATATAAATGCCAGATATAGGGAAAAGTTCAGTCTGTTTTCCTTACTGGTCTGATATATCAGCATGATGAACAGATTGACAAAATGCTCAAAAAGATCACAAATGTACCATCATGTCCTGAAAACAATCATCATGATCTCAGCATTTTACTTCCTGGACCTGACCAGCGGCGCTAAACATGGTAAAGGCCTTGACCAGAGGCCCAGATAAGTTGCGTATCCGGATAAAATACGCAAGAAAATTTCCAATTACATATTGAAAATAATTGTTGTGTACCAATTACGGATTTAAAATGTTAGATACGCAAAAAGTTTAAAACAAATGTGTACGGAATATATTATAAAAATCGCTTGCGTAATGAAAAAGACATTGATTTCTATGATGTTGTACTGTTAGTATAGCACTAGTGTTGACAGGGGTGGAAATAACCAATTGCCAAACGCCCGAGTCAAGTGGTTTTTTCTGTCGGGCAAGCAAATTTGTATATCCTACTGTACCGGTGTCCAGTTGACTTTCCAATATTAATTATGTTGTTTATTTAAAAAATCAACAAGAAAACGTCCGGTATAGTGGAAAAATTATCAGGGCAAGTGATTTTACACGTGCCACTGTACTAGAGTACACTAGCAATTTTAAAGTTATTTCCACCCCTGGTTGTACTGTCAGTATAGGATGAGTGACTTTTTATGCAAACCATTTAAGTTGGTTTTGATTAGGTATGACATAAGGCAGAACATACCTGCTTAGTAAACATACTCAATGACATAATACTTAGGTGAGCAAAATGACTGAAATAAGCACATATTTGAAAGCAGTGGGTAACGGAAAATGAAATACCCACTCCAAGAAAATACAGTGGGTACAGTACCCACATGAGCTAAATCTTATCTGGAGCTCTGCTTGACATCAATCCATTTGTCAAGTCAGAAATATTTTCATAAACATTAGCTGTTTAATTCATCAGCAAAAACAACCACGTGGTTTGGATTTATATTTTGCAACAGAGCCTACAGCAAAAACCATAAGTCTCCATGTTTCCTGCCAGCCATTGGCCTAGACATTCACACATGATGGATTAAGTGACTGAGAAGTACCCAAAGTTGGACATTCCACATAGAAAGTTAGCCAGAGTGTTCTGCCATAAAGACTGTGGATCAAGGAGTAAGGTACGAACTTGTTCAATAATTACATTAAAACACTGGCAGTAGAACTACTCATTAATACAAGCAATTACAAAATTGGAAACAGCTTTGGAATGCGAGTAAAGCCCATCAAGTGAGCATAATGCTGAACCAAGACTAAGATCGAGCTGAATGCCAATGCACACTGGTGAAATCTAGACAATACAACTATATTCAGCTGTATCTCAGTACAGGCATATTGTACTTATCTGTACGATGTATAGAGAGACTAAATGACTCATTAAACATGGCATAGATCCTGCTCTGTACACGCTGGATACTACAGATTAAACTTTAACATTGATGATAGGGTCACATCCCTTTATCCCTATAAAAAAATAACATGATGAATGTTGCCATGGTATCTCCCTCTCTCTGAACAATCTCTCACCAAAACCCACAACCAGGTGCCTTGATATTAGAGTGCTTGGTTAACTGCAGTAGCTACTTCTAATGTTTACATTTCTAGACATTCACAAGCATAAAATATAGCTCTTGTTTTATCTGTTTTCAAAGCGTCTTATCTGTGCATGTTCAGTTGTAAAGGAATCAGATGACTGAAGATGCTTCTATGTCGACAGTGACATCATCCCCATCTATACACAATGTTTCATGTAAAAGAGAGATACTAGATGAGGAACAGCTCTCCCATTTGTCCAAATATCAGACAAGACATAATTAGCCAAGCATCATTCTGTATTACTCTCCTCTCTCAGGTTGATTCCACAAATACTTCAAACCATGACCAGTCACAAGCTAAATTTCACACAAGAAATGGGTTAAGCTGGAATAGAGGTCTCCCTCAATGGCCTTAAAGTAGCACTTTGGGCTTAATTGTTTACCTAATAAGATTAAAGCCGATCAAAATGGGCGTAACGTGACAAAGAAAACAAACTAATCACTGCTAATTCCATCCTAAACGTGACAAACACTGCCAGAGGGAATGGGCATTGAGATGTCTGAATACCCAGCATTCCTCAAATACAACACATACCTTTACCTGGTGCATGGCGGACAGATAAGTTGCTAAGGTAAATCCAACAACGGCAAATCACAATCCCAGAGCAGTTGAACAGACTGCTAGTCAAATATTCTCACATCGAGACACTGGTGAATGTTGCCAGCTGACAATTGGAGGACGTAAACAATGACTGAGCCTTTGATGTAAAGTTCTCCCCACTGTTGTCACACACAACGGGTCATGAGTGGTGAGGTCAACCGTGACTCATTAGTGACTGTGACTGTGTCCGAAGTCCCCACCATACAGTCAGGCTAGGTCAGAGGAAATGAAGGGCTGCTAATGACATTACGATAGAGGAGGAAATGTCAGCAGCACCAGCGTCTACACCATGCATCAATGTGTACACTGTCAAGTGGGTGCGTTGACGCTGCTCGAACTTATGTACACAGTGCGAGCTGGTTAACACTTCACAACACACACCTCTAGCATAGAGTCCTGTCCTAATGTACTGTCTTTCAAAACTCTTACAGCTGTCTAATCTTCCCTATAGCTGATTCTATGTTCATGGGCTTATTGTTATCGTAAAACGCTTGTGTCCTTTACCATATTCATCATCATTTTCATGTTTTATGTTTCAGTCCAGGAGGAATATCATAATAAACCTAAAATAACCTGTATTAATGTCTATCTGTTCAGCAAACAATTGCAGGTAAATGTTGGTTCCATGTACATGTTACACAATCAGCAGGTGAGGCATGTAGCAGTGTGCCTCCATGCTGTTCTGCATTAATTATCAAGGTTGATGAATACACCTACCCTACATGCTGCTGACATTGCTAGATAAGTTGATACAAGCCAGATATGTGTACAGGTAACGACTCTCACTGAAGTATGTTCACTGCTCCATGTCACAGTATTGAATCAATTGTTCTGTCTGTGTGTGTATAGGTGTGTACCATGCAGAGCTGCTCATGATGAGTCACAACTTTATCACACATCCATATCACACACACACAAGCACAGTCTTCCACACAGAACAAAGTGACACACAGTTTACATCATGTACGTGGATGCAATCTGTTATGACACTCCCGTTGCTGTAAACCCTGTAACCTAACGCAGCATCCAATCAAATCACTGAAATATAATGGTAGAGTGACATATATTTCATACTGTTGATGCAGACTCTTCAATCAAACACATGTGGACACTGAAACTAAGTGAACCATCAAGCCCAAGTCCTGAAACCAAGTGAAAATACAACACCATATCAACATAGTGTCACAGATGTCAAGAACGACTTCTGTGCTTTGAGTTTTGACAACTTATGGCATACCCTACAGCAACATATATAGTTATGCATTGTATCACTTGTGATATCAGTGAATGTAATTTCAGTACCGGTAATTCTAACTAAGGATACCACAATACATCTATACTATTCCTAAGACGATACAATTATCGATACATTCAAAACTGTATCGATATTTAGTTTTGAAAGTATTGGTTTAAATATGTTTATGTATCGTTTACATTTTGTAATTCTATCATGTTTTTTATGTTATATGTTTTTATGTTATAAAAGATTATTTTTCATGTACAAAGATGGGAAATTAGAACTTTTAATCTCTTAGAATCAAAACTGTTGATCTTTTCATGGACAATTATAAAATATGCAATACTAATGTTCAAAATGTAACTAAATTTACGCAATAATGCCACGAAAATAGTTATCGTGATACATATCGAATGGTGACATGGGTATCGTGATACGTATCGATTCATGAAACTTATGTATCATGACATCCCTAATTCTAACTAAGTTCACCGGCATAATTCACCTCAGTAACTCAGATGTATTGCATCACTAGCTAAAGATGACCTCATCCATTGTACACATGGATGAGTGAATGTGACATGTTCCTAAACAATGGTGAATAGATTAACTCAGCTAATAACTGCCCTAATGTCCATATGGCCATGACACACAAATAGACAAGGGGTAACAGATAGAAAACAAACATCTATACATTAGTGGTGTAACGATTCATCGATAGTATCGATGTTTACATCATCAACTATGCATCTATACAAAACACATTTAGGCAATATATCAGGATATTTATATCGCGAGTGTCCATGATTCATCGATGTATCTCCAGAAGAGACGATATATCCTGATACAACTTAAATACTACTTAAAGTTGTAAGGAGTATTGCATTAGGAATAGGAAAGGAGTCTCTTTGAAATTCTTCTGAATTTTGAAAACAAATTGAACCTTTAAGGAATTTGTTTGTGTCTGTTATCTTTGTTACTTGAACAAAGGAGTTGGTGTATAATTCAAAGCGTGTGAACATTTTACAAACTCTGTGATCTGTAGAATACTTGTCTTCAAGTAATTGGAATATGCAGATATGTGTTAGTTGTTTGACAAATAACACCATTTATCAACAATTATGAACGATGTCTTAGCTTTGTTAAGTAGAGAACAAAGAGAAGATAAAATTTAGAAAGCAGGCTTAAGAGTTTTTTTCAGTGATTTTGAATTCTAATATAAATTACACTGAGTTGTTTGTGAAAGCATTGGTGTAGAAACACAACTTCTCAAGGGAAACTTCACTTTCAAATTTATATACATTAGATCAAGGTAAACTGAATATGTTTGACTGTACTTTCTTGAGCATTAAATGCTGAAACCTTATGAGATGAACAGCTTTTTAAGTGCGTGTGAATGGAACACAAGTTCTGCTGCATAACAAATAAAGTTTCAGTCAGCTTATATCTATCATATATGTTCTGTTATTAGAATTGTAAAGTATCAGGATACGTATCGTATCGCCACCATTGTATCGTGACGATAATTGTCTGCAGGTTCCTGGCCAATACTTCCATGATATATCATTTCGCCTCATTAAAACGGTATAGGGATATATCATCTTTTCACTTAGGCCACGATACACAGCTGTACTATACATGCTCCAGAGAATCAGGATGCTTGGACCTTACGTAATATCATACTATAGGTCTGCTGTGCTACTAAGCAATACAGATATTGTAACCAATACAATGGTCTAGTAAACAAAACAAACAATAATCACTGTTACCTACACATTGGTCCACCTGACAACAGCGTTTGAAATTAACGTCAGTCCTTAGGTCAGAAGCTGACTGAAAAACACTTGCACCCACAGCTTTTGTTTTCTGCGGGTCCTTATGGCCGACAGCTTTTTCATCTCCAATAACTAAGAGTATTATTTCCATATTAAATTACAGGGCGTACACATTCTGATCAGGACCCACAACTTTTTGTGGTTCTGGGTCCTTAGGGCTTGCAGTTTTCAGGGTTAAGGGCAAACACTGCCTGACAATACAGACAGTAACTACTGTTACCCATGCCATGGTTCATGATGTATGATACATCTAAGCATGTCAGGTAGTTGGAAATGGTTGTCTAACCTGGACACATAGAGGTATGTCAAGCTACAGGTCAAACACTTACCTACACATGCTGCGTGACTAGGTGAGACACACTAGGCCATCAACTACACATACATCACAGTACACACCCTATGCCAGCACCTGCTACTGGAGACCCAGACTACAGAGGGAAGTGATTGGGACAATACAAATGACATCATATGGTGATCATGATCATCTTCATATAATGACCACCACAGTCTTGCTCTGCTACACAGCTATCAGTCACAGTGTGTTTAGAAATTAGAGTTCATCAAACATATAAGTATTATAAGAAGCATAGCTACATGTGATTACACAATGCCATTTAGAAAGTGGTCAATGTATTTGTAACATATGTTATATTTGGGATTACACTTTCTCAGTAAAATACAGATTCTAGAACTTTTGTTGGGTTGAGTCCCATCCAGGACGAAGCATAGCTACATGTATTTATTTACATGTATGTTGATAAAGTCTGAAATAGTCAGAACGATAAGACTTATTTGATCATGGTTACTGTAAATATTATTGATCTACAAAAACTGAATGTATGACAAAATGTGATCGTAAATGATGCATCATAAATAGATAACAAAGTTGAACAATACATCTTTCTCAAGAGAAATCATTCTTCTATAAATAAATCCTTGTTGCACTCACAGAAAGACAAATGCACACACACATTGAATTGAACAGTCTGACGAGTCACTGTTTGAGATAAACCAGTAAAAAATGAAGTCATCCTGTGATCTTGATATTTCAATCAACACTGAAACATAAATAATGGTTTGGAGGAGAAGGGTACTATTTTCATAATAATATCAATAAACCTCACACATCACACAACTGTCCAAACAAATATCTTAAAAAGATGTAAGGACAGAACACAGAGGTGAACTATGTTTATATACACTGTATTCAGTGAATATATATATGAAGAGTGAGTGAACATATTAATCCTTTAGTATCATTTGGACCATAAAGAATTACAGTCAAGAAACTGTGGCAACTTTGAAGATTGGTTTACAGCAGATTCCCAATAATTATTTCAAGAGAAGTCATCACTCAGTTGTGAATATGACTAGATGCCAACATTCCATTCATGGGAAATGTTCCGAAAGAGAATGCCCAGTCATCATTTAGATGATTAACACACCAAACAAGTGCACCTAAAGTACAATAGTGTGCCACTGAACAATGGATCCATGCCAGTAAATGGAAGACACTTTAAACTGAACACTGAGACACTGCAGGCTGAGCAAGATAATATTGTGATCATCACCCAGATAGTCTGATACAACTTAAGAAGAAGTACCAAACCCCAGCAGGAAAATAATATGGCTGAGGGACTGTGAGAGAGACTGCTACTTTCGTAAAGACAAGATTTGCTGTGTCAACAACAGAAACCATGATATGATCCTGCATAAATTACAAACAACCTCTGAATTCTAGAAGGTCCACATTATGCTCAAACGTGTGCTATTAATCATGTTAGATTGGAACCACATTGTCATGGACTTGATTGTAATGACTACAGTTATAGTAAGTAGTAGTAAGATCTTCTGGTGCTGTAGTTTGGCTGACAGGAGTAATTGTATTCCCGCTATAAAATATTTGAATGGTTACTATAGTCTGTTTGGATCAAAAGCGGACCGATGAATTGCAATGTAACTCAAAAACTAATAAACATACAATACTCAATGAAACACTGATCATAATCAAAACATCAGACCAACTCTGTCGTTTGTTTGCAGAATTTATGTCCTAAAATTAAAAAAGTTGTTTAACAAACTATCATTAAAATTTTGACACGGTTCACTATTTGTTACGAGGGAGGAGTGCAGAGAAAGGGACAGCCAGGTGTTAGAGAAGCACGTGCACAAGTGCCCACCATTCATTAACCTGTGCTGTGCCGTCTCCATCCTTTCTCGCACACCTGGCTGTCCGTTTCTCTGCACTCCACCCTCGTAAGAAATAGTGAACTGTGTCAAAATTTTAATGATAGTTTGTTAAACAACAGTTTTATTTTAGGATATAAGTTCTTCAAAAACCTCGATGATTTGGTCTGATGTTATAATTATGATCAGCGTTTTATTGAGTATTATATGTTTATTAGTTTTCCAGTTAGATTGCAATTCATCGGTCCGATTTTGAGCCAAACGGACTATAGTAACCATTCAAATATTTCATAGCGGGAATACAATTACTCCTGTCAGCCAAACTACAGCACCAGAAGATCTTACTACAAAAACAATTACCTGTAAATCATTCTATATAATGTCATTAATTTTCATATTAAACATGTTTAATTAAATGGACAGAGATTACGGACTCTGGTAAATTCAGGCATTAAAGTATGAAAAACATGATAGCAAAGTAAGTGATTAAGTAGTGTTTATTGTTGTATCCAGCGATATTCCACAATGACCCATACTCTAGTAAGCCAGTGACAATTTGTGACCGAATGCCTGTCAGTATGAAC